AAAACCAAAAAAAAAAAAAAGAAAAATGCAAATAGAGCCATATCTATTACCATGAACAAAACTCAAGTCCAAGTGGATCAAAGACCTCAACATACATCCAATTACACTGATAGAAGAAAAAGTGGGAAGTGTGGTGATATTTTGTTTGTGATCTAACAAGTAAAGCTTGCCTGAAGATGAGAGTGTGGAACTAAGCCATTATTTAGCCATAGAGGCCAGGTAGTGGTGGCACTCCCCTTTAATCCCAGCACTTGAGATCTCATGCCTTTGATCCCAGCAGTAGGGAGGTGGAGACAGGAAGTGATATGGCTGGGTGAAGAGAGGAATATAAGGAGGGAGGAGACAGGAGCTCAGTCTTTTTCAGGCTGAGGATTTGGTAGAGGTAAGAAATCTTTCTAGTCACTGGCTGCTCTGCTTCTCTGATCTTTCAGCTTTCACCCTGATATCCAACTCCAAGTTTTTAATTAATAAGACCAATTAGAATTCACGCTACAGGGCAGTAGCCTTCAACACTTTGGCACAGGAGACCACTTCCTGAATATAACACCAGTAGCACAGACACCAGTAGATCGACAATTAATAAATGGTACCTCCTGAAACTGAAAAGCTTCTGTAAGGCAAAGGACATGGTCAATAAGACAAAACAGCAACCCAAAGAATGGGAAAAGATCTTCACCAACCCCACATCTAACAGAGGGCTTATCTCTAAAATATATAAAGAACTCAAGAAACTAGACATCGAAATACCAAATAATCCAATCTTAAAATGGGGTACAGATATAAACAGAATTCTCAACAGAAGAATCGCAAATGGCTGAAAGACACTTAAGGGATTGCTCAATAGCCTTAGTCATTAGGGAAATGCAAATCAAAATGACTCTGAGATACTATCTTATACCTGTCAGAATGGCTAAGGTCAAAAGTACTGATGACAACTTCTGTTGAAGAGGATGTGATATAAGGGGACCACTCTTCCACTGCTGGTGGGAGTGCAAACTTGTACAGTCACTCTGGAAATCAGTATGGTGGTTTATCAGAAAACTGGGAATCAGTCCACCTCAAGACCCAATGATACCCCTCTTGGGCATATACCAAAAGCATGCCTAATCATACCACAAGGACCTTGCTCAACTATGTTCATAGCAGCATTATTCGAAATAGCCAGAACCTGGAAACAACTTAGATGCCCGTCAACTGAGGTTGGATAAAGAAAATGTGGTACATTTACACAATGGCGTATTACTCAGTGGTTAAAAAAAAAAAAAAAAAGAAAAACAATGACATCATGACATTTGCAGGCAAATGGATGGAACTAGAAAAAATCATCCTCAGTGGGGTAACCCAGACCCAGAAAGACAAACATTGTATGTACTCACTCATAAGTGAATATTAGATGTAAAGCAAATGATAACCAGGCTATAATCCACAGTACCAAAGAAGCTAGGTAAGAAGGAGGACCCTGGGAAGGGGAAATACATGAGATATTCTGGGTAAACATGGGGTGGGTAAAGGGGAGGGGATGGAGGATGGGAACATGAGGGATTGGGATGGCTGAGTTGGGGGGGTGGACAAAGAGGGAAAGCATTGAAAGCTATCTTGACAGAGGGGGCCATTATGAGGTTAGGGAGAAACTTGGTGGTAGGAAAATTCTCAGGCATCCACAAGGATGACCCCAGCTAAGACCTCTAGCAATAGTGGAGAGGGCACCTGAATTGACTTTCTCCTGTAATCAGATTGGTATCATCATAGAACTCATCCAGTAACTGATACAGAGATCAGCATTGGGCTGAGCTTCAAGAGTCCAGTTGAAGAGAGGAAGAAGGGATTATATAAGCAAGGGGTGGGGTGGGTCAAGATCATGACAGGAAACCCACAGAGACAGTTGACCCATGCTTATGGGAGGTCATGGGCTCTAGACTGACAGCTAGGGAGCCTGCATGTGACAGACCTAAGCCATCTGCATGTGGGTAACAGTTGTGTAGCTTGGTCTGTTTGTGGGGCCCCTGGTAGTGGGACCAGGATCTGTCCCTGGCATATGGCCTGGCTTTTTGGAACGGATTCCCTTTGGTGGAATGCCTCGCTCAGCCTTGATACAGGTGGGGGCAGCTTAGTCCTGCCTCAACTTGATATGCCATGCTTTGTTGACTCCCATGGGAGGCCTGCCCCTACCTGAGGAGTGGATGGGGGGTGGGTAGAAAAGAGATGGGCAGAGGGAACAGGAGGAGAGGAGGGAGGAAAAACTGTGCTTGGTATGTAAAATAAATTAAAAAAAAACTTATAAAAAAATTAAGCTGGGAGGTGGTGGTACACGCCTTTAATCCCAGCACTCAGAGGCAAGGCAGGTGGATCTCTGTGAGTTTGAGGCCAGCCTGGGCTACAGTGAGTTCCAGGAAAGGCTCCAAAGCTACACAGAGAAACCCTGTCTCAAAATAAATAAATAAACTAATTAATTAATAAAGTTAAATAAGTGTTCCATTGGCAAAAAAATAAAGAAAATGGAAGTTAAAAAAAGAAGACAACACTATAGCAATATTTCACCTAATAGTACAATGTCACCACTGAATAATTCAATAGTTAACTCTGTAAGTCCTTCTGAGTTGATATAAAATGATCAGTTGGTCACTGGTGACAAGGAAAAAAAAGAAAAGCATACTTTACCTGGCAAAACATTATCTTGACATTTTTTTTTGTTAAAACAAAACTTTTCCAGGCTATTGAAGATTCACGACGTTACCTGGAATATCCACTTCCTGTAAAGCCAGGTCCGATGTTGTAACTAACATTCAGAGTTCCCTTCCAGCTTTTGTCTGGTGGAGCAGCTCCTCCCAAGTTTCTGTCAAGAGTACATGAAACAACAAAAAGATTGATCTTGAGAAAATCATGAGATTGAGTGTGATACTGTACATGTTGGAACTATTTACAAAAAGGCCTAGCCTCATGGAGCTTTCATTCTGGAAAGAGTCATAACCTAGACAAATAAGTAACATGCCACATGTTAGTTATAATGATGAAGGGAAAAATTAAAATCTGGAGAACTGATGGGTGGCAACAGCCTCCTCACATGTGATGTAATGGGAGAACCCGGGAATCAAGACTATCCGAAAGAGGGAACACTCCTGACTGTGTTAAGAAGCACCAAACTTTTACAGAAACCCCTGACTCCATAGGAGGCACCTATAAAAGATAATTAAGTTACTCTGGTACAGACATGTAGGAAATGAAGTTGGGAAATAGGCGACGAAATACAGAAAACATTACCAGCAAATATTAACCCAAATGTTCACTGTACTGCAGACCCTGCTCCACAGCTGGGATTCCAGAAGAAACAGCACTGTCCTCATTTTACAGGTGAAGAAACTAAATCAGGAAGTAACTGGTGCAAGATCACACATTTTGTGGCTTATTTTGATGTATGTTATTTTTAACATAACTGACTAACAGAGCAGAAAATGGACATTGTAGGGTAAGATATACTCATATCCAACTAAATGACTATACCGTAACAGTATCTCTGCATCATTGTATCCAATTGGATGTACTGGTATATTTGGAATCCCTACTCCTTCTTCAACATGAAGTCTGAAGGTGTACTCTGCAAAAATCAAGCATATAAGTGAAAACCATTGAACAACAGGAACAAGGACAATGGCATGCAGGAGTTTCTTGTAATATTAATACAGATTTGTTATATTTTGCAATTAAAATAAAATGAAAGGTTACCAAAAAGTCAATCTGTTTTATTTAAACTGCTAACCCAGGGGCCTCTCCTCCCAGGACAAGTAGGCTGGAGGCAGACTCACACCTCTCCTGCTGCTCCTGAGTTCTAATCCCCCCAGTTTTATCCTAAACTCTGTAGCAGGAAATTTACTATGGTCTCAATTTCCTGTCTGACCCCATCCCCAAGGAATCACAAAGACCTTCTTTTCCAACCTTCCTTCCCCTTCCTCATCCCAGTATCCCAGCCTACAACACCAACAAGCATTCCCTGAGAACGCATAAGCTGGACAGGACAGGCAACACTCAGTCAAAGCACTCTCTGAAAAATCCAGAGAGGAAACAGAAATCAAGGAATAAAACACCTATCCAATAAAGACAAATCCAGAAATCAACACCTAGATCTATAATCATCCCAAACTCAGATGCCAAGATGCCAGCATAATCAGCCGGATGGTGGTGGCACATGCCTTTAATCCTAGCACTTGGGAGGCAGAGCCAGGCAGATCTCTGTGAGTTCGAGGCCAGTCTGGGCTACCAAGTGAGTTCCAGGAAAGGTGCAAAGCTACACAGAGAAACCCTGTCTCGAAAAACAAAAAAACAAAAACAAAAACAAAAACAACAACAACAAAAAAAACCTTAATAACAGCCAGGGCAATATGTCTCCAGTAGAGCCCACCTGTCCTGCTACAGCAAGCCCTGAATATTCCAACACAGCTGAAGCACAAGAAAAAGACCTTAAAATCAACTATATGAAGATGATAGAGTTCCTTAAAATGGAAATTAACAAATCCATGAAAACAATGTGAGGAAATGAATAAATCACTTAAAGAAACCCCAGAAAACACAAACGTTTGAAGGAAACAAATAAAAGTGATCAAGACCAGAAAATGGAAATAGAACCAATAAAGAATACACAAGCTGAGGGAATTCTGGAAATGAAAAATTTAGGAATTCAAAGCTTCACCAACAGAATAGAAGAGACGGAAGAGAGAATCTCAGGCAATCAAGACACTATAGAAGGAACGGATACATTAGTCAAAGGCAATGTTAAATTTAAAAATCCCGACACCAAACATCCAGGATATCTGGGATACTATGAAAAGTCCAAGCCTAAGAATAATAGGAATAGAAGAAGAAGAAGATTCCCAACTCAAAGGCCCAGAAAATATAGTCAACAAAATCATACAAGAAAAATTTCCTAACCTCAAGAAAGAAATGCATCTAAAGCTATGGGAAGCTTACAGAACACCAAATAGATTGGACCAGAAAAGAAAGTCCCCCCACTACATGAGAATCAAAATACTGAACGTACAGTAGTACAAAGAAAGAATATTAAAAGCCTCAGGGAAAGGGCCAAGTAACATAAAAAAGCATATTAGAATTACACCTGAGTTCTCAATGGCAAGTCTAGAAGCCAGAAGGGCCTGGTCAGATACCTTATGGATCCAGACTCTAAGAGACCACAGGTACCAGCAATGACTACTATACCCAGCGCAACTTTCAGTCACTATAGATGGAGAAGACAAGATATTCCATGATCCAGTCAAACTAAAACAATATCTATCTATAAATCTGCTGTGGATGATTGATTGATAAAGTGCTGATTGGTCAGTAGCCAGGCAGGAAGTATAGGCGGGACAAGGAGAGAGAATTCTGGGAAGTAGAAGGCTGAGGCAGAGAGACGCTGCCAGCTGCCGTGATGAGAAGCAACATGTTAAGATACGGGTAAGTCACGAGCCACGTGGCAACTTAGATTAATAGAAATGGGTTAATTTAAGCTATAAGAACAGTTAACAAGAATCCTGCCACGGTCATAAAGTTTATAAGCAATATAAGTCTCTGTGTCTTTACTTGGTTGAGTCTGAACGGCTGCAGGACTGGCAAGTGAGAGAGATCTGTCCTGACCGTGGGCCAGGCAGGAAAACTCTAGCTACATAAATCCAGCACTACAGAAGGTAGATAGAAAAACCCAAACCACCAGTGTTAACTACACCAGTGAAAACATAGGAAATAATCTTATACCAGCAGAAACAAAAGAAGGAAAGTGCACATACACCACCACCACCACCACCACCACAAACAACAACAAAATAATAGGAATCAACAATCATTGATCATTGGTTTCTCTCAATGACAATGGTCTCAGTTCTCCAATAAACAGACAAGGACTGGGGCTGGAGAGATGGCTCAGTGGTTAAGAGCACTTGACTGCTCTTCCAGAGGTCCTGAGTTCAATTCCTAGCAACCACATGGCGACTCACAGCCATATGTAATGGGATAAAATTCCTTCTTCTTGTGTATACCTAAATACATGAATAAATAATATATATATATATAAAAAAAAAAGACAAGGACTAACAGACTGGGTGCAAATCAGGATCTATCCTTCTGCTGCATCCAAGAAACACGCCTCAATAATGAGGATAAACACTACTTCAAGGTAATGGGTTGGAAAAAGATTTTTTTTTTTTTTTTTTTTTTTTTTTTGTTTGGTTTTTCAAGACAGGGTTTCTCTGTGTAACAGAGTCCTGGCTGTCCTGGAACTTGCTTTGTAGACCAGGCTGACCTCGAACTCACAGAGATCCTCCTGCCTCTGCCTCCTGAATGCTGGGATTAAAGGCGTGCACCACCACCACCACCACCACCGCCCAGCTGGAAAAAGATTTTCTAAGCAAATAGACCTAAGAAGAAAAATGGTGTAACTATTTTAATTTACAACAAAATATACTTTTGTAGCACAAATTCTAATTGGTCTTAATAAAAACCTGGAGTCAGATATAGGGGTAAATGCTGAAAGATCAGAAAAGTAAAGGAGCCAGCCACTAATGAGACTTCTTACCTCTACCAAATCCTTAGACCAAAAGGGGCCCAGCTCCTGTCTCCTCCCATCTTATATTACTATCTCCACCTCCCTAGTGCTGGCATTAAAGGGGTGAGCCTCCACCACCTGGCTCTGTTTTCTTGTATAATATTAGAGGGACCAGCCTTAATATTATACATCCCAGAGGCTCAGGAGAGAGAACTACTAACGTCGAGGACTATTTTCAGGAAATAAAATCTCAGCACACCGAACTCTATAGTCCACTTGCTTTAATTCCTCTGGCATAACATCCACATATACACAGCTTCAGTTCTGTTCTTGTGCCTAGCTCCTTTCTTGTCTGATTTCTCTCTTTATCTATCTACTGCTCCCTGTAAGTTTTATCTTAATTCTCTCGTCTTAATTCTGCCTCATCAAGGTCCTTTTCACCTTGTTCTTACCCAGCTAGGACTTTTCCTGACTCTTCCTCATTTTCTATCTCGTTCCTCTAGTACTCTCTTCTAGCCCTTCAATCTAGTTCTTTCCCATCTCAGTTTGTTCCTCTCAAGTTCTTACCTATATAGTTCTCTTTTCTCTTCTCCGTCCCTTGTCCCTGGAAGTCCCCGTATATAAAGGGAGGGTCTGAGCTAAATTGTGTAAAGCTATTACTTAATATCTACCTCTCCTAGGCGGTGTCTCCTTGTGGAATTTACCTTAAGTCAGGAGACTTGCCTGTGGGCTGCTATCATTGTTAGTCCTCGGAAGTTGGGCGCCCCCCTGGGCGGTGTCTCCTTGTGGAATTTAAGTCGGGAGACTTGCAGGTGGGCTGTTATCATTGTTAGTCCTCGGAAGTTGGGCGCCCACCTGAGTGATGTTTCCTGTAGTCCTTGAAAGTGGCTAAGGGAGATAATCTGATTCCAGAGAAAGCCTTTCCTGAGGCTGTTCTCCAAATACCTGGAATGTGTATGTCCAGAGAGTGATCAGTCCACACTGTTAGCCCTTCTTAGGGAAAAATCAACTGGGAAAACTATGAAGGCACACATGATTTTCATAACAGAATACAGCTGATATATAACAAGCCAAGTAACAGGGATTTGGCTTCCTCTGGAGGAATTCCCTGATCCCTCCAGGTAGTGACTTTGCCATAACCAGCTGAGTTCTTATGATATATTCCTGTGGCCCGCAGCACTGTTTCTCTATTAGACAGGATCAGAACTCCTGGTCTTCCTGCTTCCTCCTCCCAAGTGCTAGGATTAAAGGGGTGTGCCACCACTGCATGGCTTCCATGGTTAACTACTGGCTAGCTCTGCACTCTGATCTCCAGGCAAGCTTTGTTAGAGCACAAACAAAATAACACTACAGACTTCAAACCAAATTTAATCAAAAGAGACAGAGAAGGACACTACATACTCATTTTCTTAGTTAGGGTTTCTATTGCTGTGAAGAGACACCATGACCACAAGTCTTATAAAGGAAAACACTTAATTGGAGCTGTCTTATAGTTTGTGGTGATTTGAAAGAAAATAGCCCCCAAAAAGAGTGGCACTATTAGGAAGTGTGGCCTTGTTGGAGAAAGTGTGGCACTGTGTGTGTGTGTGTGTGTGTGTGTGTGTGTTGGGGGGAGCGCTTTGAGGTTCCTTTTGCTCAAATTTCCCTTAGTATGATATTCAGTAGACTTCCTGCTGCCTGCTGGTCAAGATACAGCCAGCACCACATCTGCCTGCAGGTCATGATGCTCCCTGACATGATGATAGTGGACTGAACCTCTGAAACTATAAGCAAGCCACCCCAATTAAGTGTTTTCTTTATAAGAGTTGCCATGGTCAAGGTATCTCTTCACAGCATAAAAACCTTAAGACACCATTTCAGCGGTTTAGTCCATTATCATCAGGATGAGAAATATGGTGGTATTGTTGTGCCCAGATCTTAACCCCCAGAGAGACCACCAAGGACCAGCATACCAGAATGCAAAAGCAAGGTTTATCTGTTACAAGTCATGACAAGGAACTCATCTCAAGCCATCTCAAGTGAGGCAGGGAAGAGTTCCTCTTTCTTGGGGAAGTTAGTTTTTATAGGCAAAACCCATAAAATTTCTTAGAGGGGAGGGGATTAGTGCGGGTCCATCCTTGATTGGTCCAGTTTTTCCCGGGCCTGGATGGACTTTATCTTATTCTAGCTTATCTGTTTGCCCTGTCAGGAGTTTTACAACTCCTCTCCGGGGTCTGGTCATGTTATCTCCGGAGAGGGGCATCTCGTGGTTAATTGGTTACCATCAGACATCCTGACTCTGTTCTTTTGTTCCTGGGGCTGGCGCCATCATTTCTGGGGACTTGAAACTGGGCTGGGTCTATCTATATTGAGATATCTGTCTAAGGCCCCCCTTTTGAGACAATAGAGTGAGGGTCTTGTTGTGCTTAGATCATGTCCCCAAAGCCGCCACTGGAGACTTTAGGTACAGAATGCAAAAGTATTCTAAGTTTATAAGCCTCCAGGGAGGCTCTTCCAAATCTCTCACTCACAGCAGGGAGGTTGGAAGGAGGCTCCCCTTTCTTTGTGAGGCTAGTTCTTAAAGGCACAGACCATATAATTTATTTTAACCCGCATCCCTTTTTAGTCTTTGGTTGAATATCCTTACTGTGTTTTCCAAAGTCCCTGTAGCAGGGTCTAAGTTCTTATCTACACTTAGGAATCCTGGTTTAAGCTTCTCTTTGTCTGTAGGGGTTAGAGTGGGGGGTTTTACTGAGGTATCACAGTACGCAAACTGACATGGTGTTGAAAAAGGAACTGAGAGTTCTGCATCTTGATCAGCAGGCAGCAGAAGGAGTCTGTGTACCACACTTGGTGTAGCTCCAGTATATGAGACCTCAAAGCCTGCCCCTACTGAGACAGGACACACTTCCTCCAATAAGGCCACACCTACCCCAGCATGGCCAAGCCTCCTAATAGTGCCACTCACTCCCTATGGGCCAAGCATTCAAACACATGAGTTATGGGGCTATTCCTATTCATACTACCACATTCCATTCCTTCACCCTACAAAGCAATTCAACTAAAATGTTTCCTAAAACACAAAACTGCCCACACTCTCCATATCTACTCTTTATAGTACTTGAAGTTTTTGCTAGATCGATAAGACAACTGAAAAAATCAAGGGGATACAAATTGGAAAGGAGGAACTCAGAATCATTATTTGAAGATGATCTGATAGTACACATCAGCGACCCTAAAAATTCTCCCAGGGAACTCCTACAGATCACAAAAACCTTCAACAAAGTAGCTAGATACAAGATTAACTAAAAACAAAACAAAAAACCAGTATCCATCCCAGGCACAAACGAAAAACAAACTGAGAAAGAAATCACAGAAACAATACCTTTCTCAAATAATAAAAATATCTTGGGGGTAACTCTAACCAAGCAAGTGAAAGTCTTGTATGATAAACTTCGAGTCTTTGAAGAAAGAGATTGAAGATATCAAAAGATGGAAAGATCTCCCATGCCCATGGGTCAGTCGATTGATATAGTAAAAATGGCCATCCTACCAAAAGCAATCTACAGACTCAGTGCAATCCCCATCAAAATTCCAAGACAATTCTTTACAGACCTTGAAGGGACAATCCTTCAACTTCATATGAAAAAATGAAAAAGTACTTATTTCCAAGTAGTCAGGCTACAAAATGACATAAAGTGCTTGTTTGTATACACCTAGAACAGCAAGGAGTATTTTACAAAAGTGATCAACTAACAGATTTGCCCATTACCTTTAGCTGGATAGCCTGGAGTGAGTGGGTCACCTGCCCCATTCAGATTTAAGACATTTCCTCTCTGTGCTGCAGCTCCAGGAAGGTTCCATCCTTTGGGATACGGCTGTACCTCGGGGGCAAAGTAGTCAGCTGGATCAGAGTACAGGATGATTCCTATGGCTCCGGCTAGCATGGCATTTTTCACCTGTAAGAGCAATATGCAAATGACTCGTTTACTCCTACAAAAGTAGTAATAACTGCTTTTGATCCTGCTGTTATATGCTTGCTATCTTTGCATTCAAAACTAATTTTCTTCATGGTAAACTTAACACATGGTCACTTATCTTACAAAATCCTTACTAAATTATCTCTTTTAAGAACTGTTCCTGGCTGGGTGGTGGTGGCATACGCCTTTAATCCCAGCACTTGGGAGGCAGAGGCAGGCAGATCTCTGTTAGTTCGAGGCCAGCCTGGCCTACAAAGCAAGATCCAGGAAAGACACAAAACTACACAGAGAAACCCTGTCTCAGGAAAAAAAAAAAAAAAAAAAAAAGAAAGAAAGAACTGTTCCTGTCATTCCCAAACTTGCAAAATTAAAGTCTCCCTTCTTTATACTTATTTTATATATTTCTATCATAGGACAGTTTGTAATATATTAAAACATCTTTCTAGTGTGTGTCTCCTCTACTAAAATGACAGTGTTGTTGAGAATGTGACTGATGCTGTACTCTTAACCAACTACCCACAAAAGTCTTGTGTGGGCGCCATGGGCCCTGGCCCCCGACTGGGAGTGGCTGCGGCCTTGCTTGCTGACCTTGCTCAGATGTCCTCCCTATTCAGATTCCCTGCCGGTATCCACCCTTCTGAATGCTTAAGGGAAGTTCCTTGTTTGTGTATCCTGCATTTTGGGCGTTAACAACTTAGATGCAAGAATGTAGAACATTGGGTCTGGAATGTAGACCATTGGTAGCGAACTTCTGCCCTCCAGGGGTTCCTCCATTTGTGCTGTAAGCCTGTATGTATTTAAGGTTTCTTCCCTCTTTCAATAAACAGTATTCGACATCCAATCGTATGGATGACCCGCTGTCTCTTGTCTCTATTTTTTAATCCGCAGCCCTTCGCTCGGACATGGTGAACGGGTATTGGTAATGCGGGCGTTACCACTACAGTCTTGCACATCACTGAGAAAGCATTTTACAAATACTTACATAAGCAAACAGGTTTTCAGCTTTATGTAAAACAGTCACAGTGTGTTTTTCAAAAGTAACTTTGTAAGCATCTAACCATCTGGATTTGCTAAGAACAGAAAAGTATTCTGTGAGATAACTGAATTCTTAATCATCAAAAGTGTTACAGCAAAAGGTAGGTAACTCTCACTCTTGGATCTCTCATATGTATTATAATATTAAGAAAGCACTCAGCCGGGCGGTGGTGGCGGCGCACGCCTTTAATCCCAGCACTTGGGAGGCAGAGGCAGGCGGATCTTTGTGAGTTCGAGGCCAAAGGCACAAAGCTACACAGAGAAACCCTGTCTCGAAAAAAAACAAAACAAAACAAAACAAACAAACAAACAAAAAAAGCAAATACTACTTTTGTAACAAAAATAATTTCCTTCTTGGAAATATAAAATTACATAAAAATAAAGTTTTCTGTGTAACCATGGAGAACAACCAAAAAATAATTAAAATTAAGAGCAACTTTAGAGTGAATATAACATATAACCATCTATTAATATCTGTGAGATCCAACCTCTCCCCTTCCCCCTAGAAAGAAGAATACCCTACTTTATTTCCTCGAAAGATCTTCCCGTATCTTGCAATAACAATCTTCCCAGTGCAGGTGATGTTCATCTCTCTTTCTAGTTTGAAGAAGTCTTCAGTGCGAGCGTAGTTGACATATACAAGCTCTCCCTACAGGGAAATGGGAAAGATACATATGCTACTGCCTTAAAGATAAAATTAAAATAATTTGTTCTTCAAAACTCTATTGGCAATTTTCTTTCCTTATTTGGGATTAATTAACATTTGTAACTCATTACAACATCATTTTAACACTTCAAAAACTTCTTTAAGGAGCTAAGAAGTATATTCAATAGTTGTTCTCCAGAAGAAAATATCAGCAAGAAATAATCAATGCCATTTCAGTAATCCCAACTGTTTTAATTTTTAGCTTCTTTTTTATAATCTTTTTTCTTTTATTAAAAATATTCGGTCTGGAGAGATGGCTCAGAGATTAAAAACTCTGGCTGTTCTTCCAGAGGTCCTGAGTTCAATTCCCAGCACCCATATGGTGGTTCACAACCATCTGTAATGAAATCTGGCTCCCTCTTCTGACCTGCAGGGATACATGCAAACAGAACACTGTATGCATAATAAATAAATAAACCTTTAAAAAAAGAAAATATTCTTAGTACAATATATTCGGATAATGGTTTCCCCTCTCCCTACTCCTTCCTGTTCTTCTTCATCTCCTCCCCCATCAGGATCCACAGCCTTTCTGTCTCTCATTAGAAAACAAACAGGCATCTAAGGAATGATAATAAAGTAAAACAAGATAAAACAAAACCAAACAAATCAGAATAGGATAAAAAAAAAAAAAGAACAAGAGTAAAAGAAAAAGTGTAAGAAATGCATATAAATGCAGAGACACATGTATTCACAAAGTAATTCAATAAGCACACAAAACTAGAAGCCATAATACATAAGCAACGAATCAGTAATTAAAACAACCTGACTTAACATTATGAGACAAAGAACCTCCCAAGATGCCATTGGGTTCATTTTGTGTTGGCCATCTACTGCTAGGCATGGGGGCTTACCCTTAAGGGTGGTTTGTTTCTCTAGTGAGACTTCTGTGGAGAAAACTAACTTTTCATTTGCAAGTGGATATCAATTGTAGATAGCCTCTGAAATCCCAAATGTGTTTAATTTCCAACCACAACATTATTTTAAGAATATCTGTAGTATGAACTACAGGAACAGATGGATAAAAATAATTTAAAATTCACATTGTAAGCAGTGGGAAAAGCTAACAAGAGCGCCTGTGAAAAGCACACTCAGAAGTCTGCTGTTCGGTAGAGTGCTATCTGCTTCAGTGCATCTTAGTCCTTTTAGTGCATTTGTTTCATTTTTCTCTCCCTTATGATCTTTTCTATTACTAAAAAATAATTTTCATTTTTGAAGGTGTTCATAGTACTGAACATTAAACAATGAAAACACAAGTATTTAGTCTGCAAGTGAATTCCCCTTGGTTGCATTTCTCTACACAGGCTTTCATATAACAAAGAAAGGCATAAAGTTGTGCATATTTAAAAATTAATTTTTTTTACCTCTGGCATGCCATGGGCTGAAAACGCATTATATGGTGGTACAATGTTTGTAACATTCTCATATCCATCTGGTGGTGGTTCAAAGTATGATGTTTTAAAAATCTAGCAAGAATTCAAACATGTCAAGTCACAGAGAATAATCCCAGGTCACTATTAAGGCATGGTCCATCTTGCCCCCAAGTTACACTTAGGTCAAGTTTTATAATTAAATAGATGAATCCTGCTGACAACAATAAGTTTTATATAATCTTCAAGATAATAATCCTAAGTGATTAAATGTTCTCTTATTAAGTGTAGAAACAGAGCTGCAAAGGTGGCATTCATGGGCGAGGGTGTAGCTCGGTGACAGAATACTCATATATCATGTTGAATTCCATCCCCAACACTGCTTAAAAGTGAACAAAGGAATTGCTACCAATGGTGGCACTTTGTGATTCCCTTGTTTGTCTTTTCTTCTTCTCTTGCAAAGCCCTGTTCTTTCACCATCATTTAAATGGTTACCATATTTTATCCTTATACCACTTCTTGACTAATTTTTTATTCCTTCCAAGTGTAATTTCACTATTAAAACTGTGCCAACAACTAATATGCTTCTGGGACTCAGCGCTTCACATTCCTGTATTTAAGAGCCAGGTAACTATTTAGCTTTGATGTTCAAACTCAACATATTAAACTTTGCTTTTACCTTCTACCATCCCTAGGCCTGCTTATGGTCTGCGTCTCCCACCTGTGAACTCCGTCACTAGGTAAGCCAGCGGCACCAGGCAGTCGGGAGTGGACAGTCACCCTGATTATTTATGCACTTCTTCCTTGCTCAAGTCAGCCATGAACCATGTTGCTAACACTCCCGAACTGCTTCTCACATTCAGCCTTCCTATTTACTTCTGCTCATAGCCTAACTCAGGGCTTCACCCTTGACTTGAACTATTTATACAGTTGTAACTTTGACTCCCTGCCTAGTCTCTATGTGATGTGCAAGTGCCCTAGGTAACATGCTTTTCGGTCCTATCTTTGTTTTATCTAAGCTTTTCAGGAGGTTTCATTACTGAAGCTTGACATTTAACTCCTGAAGATATAATATAATCCTATGACCTGTCTCCAGAGCATATCTACTAGTTTATCCCTTTTTGTGGCTCACTTTGCTTTCACACTATTGGAATATACAAAATCTTTAGACTCTACCAATAATACCAAGCCATGATACACATTCCTGCATGTCCAGTGTTTTCCTCTGACTAGAACTCTCTTACCTTGCTGTAAGTTTCATGTGGTTAAACTCTTATTCTCTTTTCGGACTCATATATCAATTCCACCAGGAAGACTTTCTATCTCCTTATTTAGGCTAAATGATCTGTTCCTTTGTAGATCAAGAACCTTAGTTCTCTCTTCCCAGCACTTACCCAACTGATTTTAAATAATGTATCCCTTTGTCTGCCTCACCTTACTAAGCAAAAGAACTATGTCCTAATCTTCATTCTGGCCTGAGGAATTAGTACCATGCTAAACACAGACACCGAAGAGTTTGCAGTCTGTCCACTTTTCTGAATGATGTAAATGGTACTACACTATTAACAAATTTCTATTGTTACTTGACTCTACATTCCAATCAATGAAGGGACAAGAAGCAAGCAATGAACTGGGTTGTGTGCACCTGTAATCTCAGAACTCAGGAAGCAGAAGCAAGAGATTCACCACAGATTTGAGGACAATCTGACTCATCCAGTAGATTCCAGGCCAGCAAGAGCCAAAAAGTGAGATCCTGTCTCAAAGGCAAAGTACAAACCAGAGATTTCAAAATACAAAAACTCCCAAGAATTCTACATCACCTCAACTCCATGTTCATCCACAATTGATACATAGTTTGCATTTGTCTCATTTGGGTAAGATAAAAGAACATCATAATGAACCAAGTTGGCTGAATCTAATCCAAATTTCTTCCACTGTGTTTGGATTTTCTTGGCAAGCAGTAAATTTTGTTCTGTTCCTGCCAGATGGGGAAATTCTGTAAAGGAACTGAAATGAGAGTAACAAAATTGAGAATTAAGAGAGTACATCCAAATGATGCTACATGGTTCACCTTTCAGGAAGTCATGTATCAATTTTCTATCAGATGCAGAAAAATCTCAGTTGGATATACCAATTTTCAGACATGACTCTTTAAAATAATTAAGCAAAACTGCAATTTCCATGTTATGCTCTCTCTGTGAATAACATAATCCCTGCTAAACACAATAGCATAGGACTAAATGTGAGAAGACACCTATAAGAATGTCATAGCTTAGCCGGGCGTGGTGGCACGCGCCTTTAATCCCAGCACTCGGGAGGCTGAGCCAGGTGGATCTTTGTGAGTTCGAGGCCAGCCTGGGCTACCAAGTGAGCTCCAGGAAAGGCGCAAAGCTACACAGAGAAACCCTGTCTCGAAAAAACCAAAAAAAAATAAAAAAAAAAAAAATAAAAAAAAAATGTCATAGCTCTACAAGAAGGACGCAACACCTGATGTTTATGAGTGAACTGAGGACATTTTGAGGGAGAAGTCTTAATATTTGCTCAGGAACAGCCCAGTACTCTGCATTTGGCTTAGATGCTTCTATCAACTATAACATATATGTAGTAATGTATTTATTTCATTGAAATTAAGGTCCATGAACTTATGTATTCTCTAGTGCCAAGGTCTTGTCTGTGACATGAAAAGCACAGCTCTGTTAAACTACTTTGGGTGATATTTTCTTAGTTCTGGGTGTAAAAGAGCTATAGCATTTTAATAACTCCACATAGAGTTAATAGTGAGATTTACTTTACTTTAGACAAATATTATGTTAAAGGTTTCTTCTCTTTTCCACTTACATCAGTAGAGAAATAATATTACAAAAAAAACCCCTAAAACTAAAAAACAAAAACCTATAGACAGAAAGATGAAATTTTCATTGAAAAACTGGTACCAGCACTTTTACATTTCATCTTCATCCTCACAACCACTCTTCCTTTCTCCTATTTTTCAAATAAGACAACTGAGAAAGTACTTCATATTGTTATAGCTAATAAATGCCTGGGCTAGACCTTGAAATTATAACTTTCTGATTTTGAGAAATAGTATATTTTAGTAGTCGATCCGATCTTCCTGCATGATTGCTCATGATACTTGGACAGTCCTATATAATCTAGACTATAATGTTCATAACCCAACATGCATTTGACCCACCCTTCCATCTTTCAACCTCGTTCACTGTTACTGTGCTCACAAGCTTCTGCTCAACGGTACTCTTTCCACTGTCATTTTAATTGTTTGCAGACTTTGCACAAGGTCTTCTTTCCAGAATAAATATTTCTCCATTGACTTGAGTCTTCCCTCTCCTACCTGCAAACTATGACTGATCCATGAAGACTCAAGTGTTGCTGGAGGGCTTCTCCCTAGGTTCCACCAAGTCCCGCAGTACCACAATCCACGTATAAAATAATCACTCAGATGTTTTTATTACTTATAAACTGTATGGCCGTGGCAGGCTTCTTGTTAACTGTTCTTATATCTTAAATTAACCCGTTTTTTAAATCTATATCTTGTAACATGGCTTGCGGCTTACAGGCATCTTTACACGTTGTTTGTCATGGTGGTGGCTGGCAGTGACTCTCCCTCCTTCTTCCTGTTTCCCCAATTCTCCTTTCTCCTTGTCCCGCCTATACTTGTTGGTCAATAAATAAAACCTGATTGGCTGTGGCTAGGCAGGAAGTATAGGCGGACTAACAGAGGAAAAATAAAAGAACAAAAAGACAAAAGGAGACACTACAACCACCGCCAAGACAAGCAGCATGTAAAGATGCTGGTAAGCCACCAGCCACGTGGCAAGGTATAGATTTACAAAAATGGGTTAATTTAAGATATAAAAACAGTTAACAAAAAAGCCTGCCACGGCCATACAGTTTATAAATAATATAAGCATCTAAATGATTATTTTATACGTGGATTGTGGGACTTGATGAAACCTGGAGAGAAGCCCTCCAGCAACACTCAAGTATCAAGCTCTGTGAAGTTCTCTCTCTCTCTCTCTCTCTCTCTCTCTCTCTCTCTCTCCTTCTCTCTCCATGTCCTTAAGTGAAAACTGCAAGCTACAGATATTTAATATGTCAAATATTTCCTTTACAAAGTACAAGTGAATTCAGAAAAGTTATTTTACAGCTAGAAAAAAATACTTCAAGCCTAGGTATATTTAATTTCTACTTTACATACTTGTGTTAGTTATGGTTTTTTTTGTTTTGTTTTGATTATTGTTTTCAACTTGACAACCAAGAGTCATCTAGAATGGAGAATCTCATTTGAAGAATTGCCTCCTTCAGACTGGCCTTGCAGACAAGTATGTGAGGCATTTTCTTGATTAATGGTTTATTGGGGAGGGCCCAGCCACCATGGGCAGTGCCATACCTAGGCAGGTGGTTCTGGAATCAATAAAATAGCAAACTGAGCAAGCCAGTAAAGTGCATTCACAGTTTATGCTTTGGTTCTTATCACCAGGTTCCTCTTTTGAGTTTTTGTCCTGACTTTCCTCAGTGATAGAGTATGTCCTGAGAGTTCTGAGATGAAATAAACCCTTTCCCCTCAAGTTATTTTTGGTCATGGTGTTTATCACAGCAATAGAAACCCAGCTATGACAATAGTTCATTGTTGTCTTACTTTCTACAGTGGACAGATACTATTTTTTTTTTAAGATTTATTTATTTATTATGTATACACTATGCCTATGTGCCAGAAGAGGGAACCAGATCTCATTATTGATGGTTGTGAGCCACCATGTGGTTGCTGGGAATTGAACTCAGGACCTCTGGAAGACCAGACAGTGCTCTTAACCTCTGAGCCATCTCTCCAGCCCGGCAGATACTATTTTTGTGCATGCCTTTAATCCCAGCACTCGGGAGGCAGAGCCAGGTGGATCTCTCTGAGTTTGAGGCCAGCCTGGGCTACCAAGTGAGTTCCAGGGAGGGCGCAAAGCTACACAGAGAAACCCTGTCTCGAAAAGCAAAACAAACAAACAAAAAAAAATTAGTGTATTTTTTTAAATGGAGATGAAGGATTAATCATGAACTTGTGCTTCTCATCTCCTAGAGGGCTCAATAAAATGAAACACAGGAGTAAAAAAAGAAAAAACAAAAAAAGAAAAACCAGACATTTGAGTTTCCCTTTGTGATCCAAATTGAACAGTAATTTGGTAATGTTCAATCAAAGAACAAGTAAGAACACCATTCCCTCTTGCATTTTTCATTCACTAGAGAAAAGCTTCTTTAGTTACACTTCCTTCACCTTTCATGAAGCACGACCTCATTGCACATCCCTTCTTCAACTAATGACCAGAGAATTCGAATTCTCAGGATCCCAATAGAACATGTGGTTTGTTGACTATAATACGTCTGTAAAATCTGAAATCACAAGGTTCTGAAGGTGTATAGTTTATGTAAATTATCATTCAACAAAGCTGATTTGTTAATGGCACTCTTTTTGAGGAATTCTGAGAACAAAAATGTGTTACAGTAAGTGCCTTCAAAAAGAAATTGAAAAGTTTACATTGTCTTTACTGTTTTTATTTTGTTCACTGTTTGAGCAAAAAAAATTATATTTGCAAAATGAGGGTGGGGGAAATGTAAGGCAGCCACAATCAGAAACACTGATCTTCTTTCTAAGTCACCAGGCTGCCAGTGTCCTAACTCTTCTTAACAGGATGCAGTAAAGAAAGGGGTGGGGGTGGGGCGGGGTAAGATTTTTCTAGTTAATGCACAAGGAACAAAAAAATCGCATTCAGTTGCAGTTCAAGGTTACACGACAATAAAATGTCTCTAAAAAGACCAACCAGATACTTTTCTGTGGGATGAAGTTATAGATGAGAAAAGACTCCTCTGTAACAGGCCATAGATTTCATCCTGAGTGCTTGAGAGACATTTTAAAAATCGGCGAACTAATGAGAAATTTATAATTTCACATATAAGTAAAGGCTGGCCAAGTTTTAATACATTTGTTCATGCAACAAACACTGTTTCTAAGATAAAAATGCAAAACAAACTTACCGAAGAAATGATCTAATGTTTTCAGCTTTCATTTCAGATAGGAGTTTCCACTGCATATTTTGATGATAACCAGCTGATGTAGTTGTTTCTTTGAGAGGCTTAATAAACCAGCCTGGGGGTGAAGTGGAATTACAGATACATACAAACAACACACAGAGATAACAAACATACATAAAGACACACAGACACAAGCACACCTATTGCTTCTGACTATTAGACCCCAGTAAAGTAAACATAAACAAATAAATAAATACATACATAATAAAAAATAATGATATCTAACCAACAGATCACTGTGCACTTTTGGGGAAAAACATGCTAATTGCAGAAAGCTTTAAAAATTCTTATACACACATAACTCTCAGTTGGTTAACACAGGTTTACTCTAAGAACTGTTATCTACTTCTCTTGTGGTATGGCCTTTCAGGCACTCTTTTGAAATCTAGTTCATAAACAGCCCCTGACACTCAAGAAGCACTGAAAAAAATCCATGTAAAAATGGTTTCAATTCATAATTTCTTAGAAATAGTCATCTTTTTTTCCATGTACATAAATAGCAACAGTCCGTGTTCTCTTCCCAGCAGCCCACAGCAGTAGTCTATACACAATAGAAACTTAATAAAGTTGAATTCCGATTTAAATGCATTCTACTCGCTCTCTACGTTTGCTGTGTTCTTTTGGGAACTCCACAGAACCCAGGCCATCCCACTCTGGGCTTCTCCTCCCTCCAGTGAGATCTCCTCACCCAACTTTCACACTTACCCAGAATGAAGCCGAAAAGGAAGGACGCCAGCGCTGCGGCAATGCAAATCCCCAGACCCCTGAGATGCCTGGGCTTTGCCATGTTGTCCTGGGCCCGGGAGCTCCGGGGACTGCAGCCGCAGGCCTGGGGGCTGCAGATGGAAAGAGAGGGTGAGCAGAGGACTTTGCCAAGATCCGGAGACTAAGGGAAACTCTGCTGGGCCACGGAAGCCCTGCAGGGAGCAGCCTGCTCAATCTGCCTGCAGTGGAAGGCGGGGCAGCGCAAGAAGCTGTTACAAAGAGCTCCGATTATTTACTGAAGAGACCAACCAGAGCCTTCCATCAACCACATCCCAAGAAGGGCAATTTCACTGCAAATCTCACTGAAGAGTTCCTTACCTTGCTTTGAGATTCTACCAGTTGCTACCTGATCACACTAAGGCTGCTTCTGTAACAAGCTGGAGCCTCAACCCTGTAACACCAAATCCTAGAGACTGAGACCGAATTTTTCCCTCTCCACCCCAACACGCATATCTGAACAGGACTTCACATTTCTGTGCTTCTGTAGCAGTTTTAAAAACATACCTCACTGGAACATTGTAGCTACAAATGAACAAAATTCACCATTGCAAAGGCCTTACACTATTACTGGCGGTAAGTTCTAAATGTCACTTCTGTCCTTGTCCTGTTAAACCTAAAAAGCATTTCCTTTAAAATTTTTTAGAAAGTTGGCAAAATAGCAGGTCTTGCAAATAGAATTCCTGCCTGCATCTCACCCAAAGGGAAGGTCCAACAAGTGATAGCTGACTTTTCATCCCTAGCCAGAAACACATTTGCAGCCGATCGATCAAATTCCCCAGTGGACGATGAAGGCAATAACACCTCTACGATATGATATGCCCAGCTGTTCTCCACATCCTGGGCATTCTTAATGACTTTGACTTTGGGTGAGACACCTTACTTCCAATAAGGTGCTGAAAGTTCCTAGTGTGTTTCTCTTGGGTGTCATAATTGATTGCTGTATCAAATGGCTTTTCTGTTCTAACTTTGGCAAAAGCCCTAAAAGCTGGCTTAAAAATTTATTTATTTATTTACTTATTTATTTATTTATTTGTTTGTTTGTTTGTTTTTTGAGACAGGGTTTCTCTGTGTAGTTTTAGAGCCTTTCCTGAATTCACTCTATAGCCCAGTCTGGCCTCTGAACTCACAGAGATATTTTAATACAATAAGTTTGTTTGTTTGTTGCTTGTTTTTTAAAGAAGTCTCCCTTGAACTTGCTATGCAGGCAAAGGCAATCTTGAACTCCTGAGGAGTGTGCCCCCATGCACCGTTTCTATGGTTATGGGAATGGAACTCAGATCCTTGTTCATGCTAGATGTTCATTCTACCAACTGTGCCACATTCCCTGCCCTGACAACTTATTTCTAAATGTTTGTAAACTTTTAAGCCCCATCAGCTCCTTTAATAGTGCCTCTTTCGACTGTCCTAAACCAATGTGTCTGTCAGTCTCAATTTTAGAAATAAACACCTTTTCAAATACATTTTCATATCAAAATGAATTCCCCTACATGTGGATGAATACATAGAAAATTAGAATGAAATTATTTCAAAGGCGCAGCAGACTGTGAGGAAGACACACTCCCCAAATATAGCTTAAGAAAGCAAGCTGTATGTAAATAAAGAATGTCAGAATTTTGTTGGTTTTTTACTTTTTTGAGACAGGGTTTCTCTGTCCTGGAACTTGCTCTATAAACCAGGCTGGCCTCGAACCCATAGATCTGCCTGCCTCTGCCTCCTGAATGCTGGGATTAAAGGCGTGCTCTATCATACCAGGCTAAATATATGGTTTTAAGTAACTGTGCGGTATCTAACAGCTGGGACAAGAATTACCTCCAATCACAAACAGTATGAAATGTTACTTGTATTCCACATAAATATTTTGGGAACTGTTTATATAATTTGCTAGTTTCTAGGCTTTGGGCTGGTATCTAAAAGTACACAAAAATTCAGTTAGGTTTGTGAGAGAAAAGGTGGCAACTAATGATTAAAGTAACTAAATTATTTTCAAATTTCAATTTTCCCCACCCTATCTCAATTTTGACAGCCAATTGAATTTTGACAAGTAGAAGTTGATGCATCATTTATCACTTTGTCAATTTGATTAATCTTCCAAAATTAAAATTAGCATCTTGATTCAATCAACATTTAATAAGCAACTATTACATGACACACATTGCACAAACTCCCGAGGATGTGATACTTGCCACTACAAGACCTATGATGGACTGATAAGGTAATCATTGGATAAATTATTTCATATAACAAGTTCTAAGAAAAAGCAGTATTACCTCCAATATGACCGCCGCCGATACCCTATCAGGCGGCATCTGCAGTCTGAGTCCTGAAAATCCATTGTAAAAAGTGTGATTGGCTAGCTCCAGAGTCTTCAGCCTTTGATTACTATGGAATCTGCAAGCATTCAGAATTTCTGCTCCATTAAGTGTATCACAGAGGCTGCTGTTAAGTAATGCTTTCTAATAATTAGCATCTTGGCAGATATTTGTATTTTGCAAAGAACATGTAAAAGACCAATACTATTGATATTTGCTAACTTTTTCTAAAAATTTTTCTTTAAAGCTAAATATGAATATAAAAAACATTTTCTATTGGAAACCAATCTCTCCATAAAACTATTTGGTCTACTTATTTCCTGAACCTCCAAAATATACTGCTTTCCCACTCATCAAGTTGAATGCTTTTATATAAATATTTTTTTCTTCCTCTTCTCATATTTTAGAAGCATCCTTACAACTCCAAAATCAAGTCACTTCAACTGGTTTGTGTCTAATCTTTTGAAAAATGATTAAATAGAGCTAGGTGTTGTGGCACACACTTCTAATCCCAAAACTAAAGAGGCTGAGGACATTTACCTCAAAAACTTGGAAGACATCTTGTACTAAGTAATGAACTCCAAGCTAGCCTGAAATACATAGGCCCTGTTTTTAAAACAAAAACAAACAACCCAGTGTGAAATGTGTACCAATAAAACAATATATATAGCATATTTATCTTAACAATATTTTAATAATTAAGTGTTAGAAAGGGTTTAGTGACTAGATATTTGTCACATCCACATTCTCAACAGTGGCTATATCAAAAATTTCACCTTTAAGATTTAGCCTTATTCTAAATGCCCTCTTTATAAACACAAGCATTAAACCGTTAAAGATATCACGAGGTAACACTACTACAGAAATTGTCATAGGCTACATGATATGGTCATTGAGACAGCAATGCTTACTTTCCAAAGAGCAAATGTTGAGTACCTTGAGTACTGTGATTCACGAGAAGAGAGGCATTCCAGTTGAGCATTTCTAAGATTCTGGGCACAATTTTCATTACAAATAGAAATTGACATGCTATAGTCTTAGCATACTGATCAATATAGAGAAATCTGTGGGACAGAAGATAGATGAAATAAAGGTAGTGAGAAAAGACTAGCAAAGAGGAGAAGAAATTTAGAGAAAAAGCAGAAACCATGATTGGATGGTTTTCTTCTGATGTCACAATTACTCTACTCAACAATCAATGTAGAAATTAGGGAACAGCCACCTATTTCAAGTGGAGGTGAAGGTCTCTGCCTCGGCTCCTGTCAAGATGACATTCCAGTTAGAATACTGGTAAGTTACAAACATTGGCCTTTAACCCAGATTTTCCCACTTAGCATTATTCATCTCTTATCATTAACATACACGATCCGTCTGTTACCCAACACTTTGCCAGCATTAATCATCCTGGTGTCTTTTCTTTCTGTGTTCTCTACTTTCCTTCAGTAACCTTGGTGTCTCAGTGCTCCTACATTCTCTCTGACAGGCTCTTTTTCTGGTATTTATTCTCATTTGATGATACCACTTCCTAGAAACTAGCTAACCAGCCATTTTATCTTCCTACCATCCTGCATCAGAGTGTAGCACAAATCTTAAAAGGTCTTGCCAATTCCTCAGCTGATCCTGTTTCCTCAGACTGGAAGCCTATGAGTCCTCATCCAGAATGAATCTCAGTTGAACTGCTGCTCAAAAGTCTAAAAGCTTAACCAGCTCTAGTTCCTGGTTTTCATGCCTTATATACCTTTCTGCTTTCTGACATCACTTCCTGGAATTAAAGGTGTGAGTCACCATGCCTGGCTATTTCCAGTATGGCTTTGAACTCACAGAGATCCAGACAGATCTTTGCCTTCAGAATGCCAGGAATAAAGGCACGTGTGCCACAATTTTCTGGCCTCTATATTTAGTGATTGTTCTGTTCTCTGACCCCAGATAAGTTTATTAGGGTGCACAATATTTTGGGGAACACAATATCACCACATCAGAGGTCAGAAGTGGAAAAGGCTTTTGGTCTGCTGCCTTGCTGTGCTCTGCAACATCTTTTGAAGTCCCCATCATATCTTTGCTTCAAGTCTGTGTCCTTGCTGCCAGCTGAGCATTTACTACCGTCACTGGTAGTAACCACTGTCCTTTAAAATTATGTCCACCCCATCTTTGACCTCAGTTTTTCATGTTATTCCTCAGTTTCTTTCACATCTCACATCCAAACCTTCAAAAGACTATAATGATTCTGCAATCCAAACACAACTGCTTTCCACCTTCACCCTGCCCCCTCAGTGCACACATACTACTTAAGGTAGTGTTCTTCCTAAAGCAACAGTCAGATCACTCCAAAGCCTCCCCTTTAATCTTAAAAACAAAATTCAGACTCTTAATATTAGTCACCAAAGTCCATGTGATCTAGTTTTAAATTCCACCTCCCTTCATGGGAAAGCTTCATCAAGGAGAAAAATGTAAAACCAACACATGTAGACTAGGCAACCCCATATCAACAGATGACTAGCATCACAGAGAAGCTACTGAAGGCCCAGTGGTGCCATGAATTCCTGATGATGGTGTCAGTCTACATGTCTTCTAGTGAAGGAGACAGAGTGACATGGTAAATGGCCTAGAGAGTCCCCAGCTTTCTATAGCAGTATTTCCCAGGAATCCCCCAACAAAAGACAAAATAGGAATGGAGTAGCTAATAATTTTATAATAAAGACGATTGTTGGAAAACTTAAATAATTCTGTGCTTTTATTCCATTGAGTTAAAAAGTGTTTATTAAATAGTTAGTCTTCATGACCAACTAGATTGGCTGAGAACAGACTACCTCATTTATTAAGAGTATAAACCTTGTTCTCACAGACACAATAATTACACCCCATTTTTCTCATAAATAAAGATTTATATATTTATTATGTATACAGTATTCTGCCTGCATGTCTGCCTGCGGCCCAGAAGAGGGCACCAGATCTCATTATAGATGATTGTGAGCTACCATGTGGCTGCTGGGAATTGAACTCGGAAGCTCTCAAGTTCTCAATGCTCTAAACCATTGAGCTACTGAGCCATCTCTCCAGCCCCATTCCCCTTTTTCTTAAACTGCATTGTCAATAAGAGGATTCAGTGTTAATTCTGTGCTTAAGTCATAAACTCCGTAAGAAAGACTTGATAGTCCTTTTCAGTATATACTATCTTCTGTGAAGAATTCTTTGTTTGTTTGTTTGTTTGTTTTTTGAGACAGGATTTCTCTGTTTAGTTTTGGTGCCTGTTCTGGATCTTGTTCTGTAGGCCAGGCTGGCCTTGAACTCACAGAGATAATGGCTCAGCCTCCCAAGTGCTGGGATTAAAGGTGTGGTCACCACCGCCTGGCTTTTAATTATTTATTTATTTATTTATTTATTTATTTATTTATTTATTTATCTACCTTTCTATTTATTTATTTGAAAAACTCTTTTTTCTCAGAACCAGACAGGCTTGTCTAACAGCAAATACATAAAGTTACTTTTCTGATGATTAGATGATCAATTTATAACAGACTCTGAGTTTGACCTTGAAATGTAAGTGACAGGTTAAGGGAAGGAAGAGTAAGAGGATCATGGTGGAATCCAACAAACTGGGGAGCAGCTGATTCA